AGCAGCTGTCGCTCGTGTGATTATCAGGCAGTGTGAATGCGGGCAACCTTTGGATGTTTGTGTGAAATGACGAGATTTTATTTCTGCCCCCCCACCCCCTAAAATGTATTTCCGTCTTTCGGCTTGCATGGCAAAGCGATGCAGAAAATGATTTTCACCAACAGCTGTTGCCCCCCCACCCCACCCCGTCTGACCTAAGAGACTTGTGATGGCCGTCGGCGCTTGGGCAGTGTCGCCCCCCCCTACACACACAAGCATGTTTTGGTTTTCTATTCCCAGCGTGAGGGGAGATATCAGCCTGCCTGAATGTTACTGAGACCCAGAGGACTACATGCACACTCTTTCTCTTCTCACAAACACACACACACACACACACACACACACACACACACGTACACGCACGTCGCTGGAGCCAATGGAGGAGGACTCAACCTTGAAAACCTCCTCCATCCCCCTGGGGGGTTTCCCTAAATGGCCTGTTCATTCACTCCTTGCTTTCTCTGTGTAAGAAGAAGAAAAAAACCGCAACATTTGTTGGCGAGCCATTTCTTCTGCCATGTTGACAATCGCTGAGGGTGAAGTGAGCGAGGTCAGGTTTTGTGCCCTCGCGGTACATATTGATGATCTCGGCCGTTCCCCTGACTGACCGATATTCTCGCTGAGAAGGCAAACTAGCAGCAAATGAATTCACGAGGCGTTACGGTCGTCTCGTCGCGACTCGCTTGTCGCCGGGCGTTAGAGTTGACGGAAGCTGTTCTGCAGTAAAGGCGCCATAATAACGATATGAACCAAAGCTTTTATTGAAAGCGACACAATATCGTGGACCGGCGCAATCGGTCAAAGCGGCGAGTGTGAGCAACGGCTGGATTAGGATTGGACACACGTATCCATAATAGAAATGCTAGACGCTCTCAGTCTCCGTGTTGCCGGCTTGGTTCTGTCCTTGGCTCAACCTGCCCCAAAACGAGTATACATTTGCATGCATTAGCGCTCTCCCGTGGCTCGCCCGTTACCCGCTGCGCTGTCGAGCCCGATTAATGATCGGAGCGCACCACTCGCCGTGGCGGCCGAGTGGGCCGCCTGCCTGCGCTAACATCAAGGTAAAAATCTCAATTTGGGCTCTGACCGAAAGGGGAAAAAATGGATTAGCGTGCTGTATTTTGCTGAGAAATGACACGTGTGGAAAGCTGTTGGAGCACATACAGTGTAGGGTTGATGCCCTCTGTAGAAAAATAATTCGGCGTTCCATCGTCCTATGTTCGCATAGCGTTCGCTTTGATCGACCTGTCGTTGGCGCGTGAATGAGCAGAAATTCAGCACTAAGGGACAGAGACAAGGGAGCTCGTGGTTGATCAAAATGTAGCTTAGAAGCTTTGACAAAGAGCATCCAGTCCCTTTGGGCTAGGAGCCCTGGCAAGGTGGGTGCAGTCGGAGAGCAAGTGGGGGGGGGAACGGGGAAGGCAGGTGGCCTCGGTCCAACAGCGCAGAGGCCCAGTCAGACATAACGCGGCATAACTCACTTGAATGACATTTAAAGGACCTTTTCGGCGCAATCTGGAATCCACGCTGCGCCACATTTGTACCCGTCGTTTTCATTATTATTCAGCTATTGCACTTGAGAGATTGGCTCTTTTCTTTTCCTCGCTGGGTGGCAAATGCGAACAAATTGAACCACATTGGTGCTCATTAACTGTTTGACATTTGTGTTGGAGATTGAAGAAGGAAGGAAGGGAGGGTCGGGTTAGCCGCGCAAACCCCTGGAATGCGTCATTTGCTCGCCGTGTTCTTGCTTCGGATTTCATCATCCGCTGCGCGGAAGACACCTCGCATGTTCTTCCTCTCCAATGGAATCCCCATCCCCCCTTTCTCTCTCCCTCTCCCCCACTTCCTCGCTTTTCTGAAATGAGGGCATACACAAAGAGGAGGGAGGAACAGATTTGGGATTTTAATATATTTAATTTTGTCTGTGGTGAAAGTAAATGGGAGTGTGAGCTTATTTCCTCCCTGTGTTTACATGTGCAGGCGGCTGAGCGCTCCCCCTCCATTTCCACTGGCACACTTGCCGCCTGCACTGATTTGAACCCACTCAAATAAGTCAAGAAGCTTAAAAAAATATGATAATGTCATTTTTGACTCACACTTTAGTGGAAAAGTCCCAAATGTGTAAATATTGAAAACAATCACAGAAGAACCAAGAAGGTCCAAGACTTGACCCCTGAGGAACTCCACCTGACATGTCTGTTTGAGCCGAGTCAAAACTTCCAAAAGTCAGAAAATATCACCTTTTGTTTGTCTGTTTCATCAAGAGTGACAAAAACACATTATAGATGCTAATTAGCATTAGCGCAAAGCTATCAACCTGAAAGTCGAGGTTATGTGGGTGTTTGGAATACACAGGGCGGAATTCTCTTTGTTCGATGCTTAGTTTAACTGAAAACTTCAATTGGCAGTGCCAAGTAACCTTGTTTTTTTTTAAGAAAGCAAAAAAATGACCTGACACTGAATGTTACGCAGTGTTGCCATGGAGATAGGCATTCAGGTAGGAGAGCTGGGAATGATCCGTT